AATGTCTGTAGTGAAAAGGTTACATAAAAATGAACAGTATTTAACATGCTCCTTTTTTTCTATTTCCTATCCCTGGAAAGTGGGACTCTGGAATGCTGTTTGCCGCTCTCCACATCTGTTACATCTGTCTTCATTCCCTCTTCCTGAATTTCTTTTTTTTTTTTTTTTTTAAATATGAAAAGAAAAATATTATTTGTTCTCTACCAGTCTACCAAGGCACATGATGCACTCACAGCAGAGAAGCTGCTATTTTTCTACATAAAGTGGAGTTACTCTCTCTAGTTAGAATGGCAAATGCCTTGGTGTGCCATATAGGTGTCATTATAGTTCTTGGTAGAGTATGTTAATGTTTCAGTATTTATTTGTGGTTTTTCAATATTTCATTATTTACAGTATTTGGATAAGTCCTTAAACACTCAACTGCATTGGCTCAAAATGTTTGTCATGTTTGCACTGACTGCAGTGGCATATGTTAAACACATCTTTGAAGGGGTGTCCTGCACTGCCACTGCAACCCAGCCCAGCCAGATCCTGCTGTCACGATACATCATTGTTATGACTGAGTGCAACTGAGTGCAACTGAGTGTAGAGGAAGAAAGCACCTTGGTACAAGCCAAGAAATATTGCTAGTGTCATCTTCACGGGGGTCTTTCATCATACTCAGACAGAATAGTAGAGGTCTTTATCTAAGGCTTTCAGACAAGGAAGTTTAAATATGAAATGACATGCCCTGCTCAGTTTCAAAATTCAGCTCTGTTGTGAAGGAGGCTCTCTCTCCATCTGGGGGGAGTTCTCATCGGCTTTGTATTTCATGGTGGAACTCTGCCAGCTTCCAAACAGAAGAAGTCTCTTTGTTTTGTAGAGGAGGTGGGAAGATGTGCTCTGAGGAGCAGCCGTGGCTATCACTGGTGAATAAAGACCAAGGTGTTGGGCAGTCCTGGGTAGTCGCAAGTGGTCAGCATATAGCAGTTGTGAGGATCAGCTAGTAAGCAAAGAATTGTAACTTAGCTGAAGTACAATTTTCTCCTATATTTATTGTGGGTTTTGTAATTTGTGGGGAAGTAATTATTAGCTAACTTTTCAAGACCATTGTACATTAGGTTCGTAGGTGTTATTCTGCCTCTGTGCTGCCTGTAAAGTGTGACTGCTGTGGGTTTGAAACCCTTTCCTGAAATGGGTGAAACTGTGGAGCATATTTGGACAAAACAGGCTTCGTCTGGGAATGGCTGCTCTTCGTAATAACCGGCTTAAAATAACACTTCACAATGAATAGGAGTAAATTTGTTTTGTGCTGGCTTTCATCTCTTTGTCACACTCACCTTTTTAAATATCCTAGAAGCCCTTCAGTAACAAAATCACTCCTGAACATTACCTTATTTGATTGAGAACCAAGGAGTTCCAATTTGCTGAAACCAAGGCTGGCATGGATTATGGCTACACCTTCAGAGTGCTGTCTCACTAGGTGCACATGACTGCATGTCTCCCATCACTGCCTCAGCTCTGTAGTCTGATTTACAAGATATACTCCTGTGTTGGCAAAATGTGTTACTGCTGACTGCTCTCTTGCACCAGTGAACTGAGATATTAAAATGGATGTGATCAAATGCAATTTGAACTACCTGAAGTTTGTCCAAGAGATACTTTTGAAGGACCATATACACTTCTTTCTTAATCTTTAGATTTTATTTTTAGATTTATCACTTTTAGATTTGCATATGCAGAGCTCCATGTAATGTTTGGCTAGTTATTATTCTTATTTTAACGTTTTTATAATGTTGCTCATGGAGGTGGTGGCAGAGGGGATTTTATGCCATCTGTCCCTGTGATCTTAAAAATATTATATAAAGTATTAAATTGGATGGACTGGATGGATTTAAAATAGAACAAAACAATGTATTTAAATTGCTTATAACGTCTAAAATTCACCATGATGGCTCAGTAAAATGAAAGGAAAAAAAAGTAAGTAAAAGAGTCAAAAAGGTATTTTGAAGCCATTCTTTCCAACTTGTGATCACACTTTGGTAAGTGGTCTGTGCAGCACTCTGTCTTTATAGAATTTTTAGTTACAAGTTTCTTGATGAGGACAATGTTAAACACAACATTGTAGCTGTATTTAATAATTAATAATTAATATAGCATTTTAAGAGCAATATAATTATTCAATTTTACATTCTTCTGCTAACCTGAAAATTTATTTTGATAAAATTCAATTTGTGAAGAAAAGTGGGAAAATTGTGATGTGTACTCTGGCATACTTTCCTATCTGAAGGGTTATATAGATTCTTAAAACCTTTTTAAAGCAATTTTTCTGCTGTTCAAAATGTCATTTCTGGAATACACTGCCCCTTAAATTTACAGGGTGTATAAGTTGAAGGGGTGGTTATTAGATGTCATCACATAAACCTCTTCTTGGAAAAAAGAGAACGGAATTGTAGCGTGGTTCAAGTGCGTGAACCTGGTGCCTCTGGTGTGCTATGTGGGGGAATAAATGGCTTTCAGTCATGTAAACTAGTATCAGATATTCATCTCCTTTGAAGTCTAATAAGAAATGCGCACTTACTTTAAATAAGCATCTAAGCATATAAATGTCTCGATCAAGTCATCAGAAAACAAATACTGAAAGGAGTTTTGTATTTACATTTTGTTTTTTTTCTGTCTGAAATCTCTATTTTGCTCCCTGTCTTTGCTTCGGATATGTTTCCTGCTGAGAAGGACAGACTGGAATCACAGTAGGGATCTTTGCCTTTTAAGTTGCTCTTTGCTTTTGCAGAGGGCTGTGTGCTGGAAGGCCCAGTGTATTTGTCCAGTGTTTTGCTCGGCATGAGAGGAACATGACTATTTAAGAAAGGCAGGAAACTATTATTTGGTCAGTTTAGCTACATTTCAATTGCAAGTACTGAAAGAGCAGACAGAAGTTTAAATACATGTCTTAAGGTACATGAATACAAATCAGTTCAGCTTTTGTGCTCTTTGTCTTTGATCAGGAAATTCTGAATCTTGAATGAAGGTGTAAAAGACTAATTCTGAGTTAAATTTACCACAACTATAATTTCACTGCTTGTGTTTATCCAAAGGTCTTCTCTAAAATTCTTTTTCTCCTTTTCTTAATGGCATGCGTGTACAGCTACACAGCTACTGTAGTAAATTCAAACTATAGCATGTTTTACAAGCAGAGCTTGATTTTTTATTTATTTTTTTAATGCAAACTCATGCGCCTTTGTCAAAGTCAAAGGATACATGCTTTGCATGCTAATTTTCTCTGCCAGGTAATTTAGCTTCCATTCCCTCATGGTTGATTTTTTTTTTTTTTTTTTTTTATCATGACAATCTAAATGTTATGGTGCTTCCTGTCCTTCAGGCATATTTTTCTTTAGAAAGTTAATATATTGATAAAGAGTAATACAGGACCAGAATTTCCTATTATATTATACTGGTATGTATTGAACTAATTCATCAACTTTAATATTATCTTACCTCCAAGTTTTTCTTTCAATTGCATAAAACTCATCAGATTAACAACAGTCACGTGGCCACAGCTATACTGTGGTTCCAGTACAAATGGTACTAAAGTCTAAGACTTTTGATTGTCTTCAGTGAGATTTAGAAAAAGCCCATTGTTTTCATACTCCTTCCATCACTGCAGTACCAGATAACAGAAATAACTGCTCTAAATATCAACATCTTCTGGTACTTCGCACTTCTGTTCTGAGAAAACATCCAAGCAAATATGAATATAACCAAAGTAAATTCTCTCCCTCTGAATTCAGAATGACTATTTAACTAGCTTTAATATTTTGATACCCAATACTAAGTTTCACACTCAGTTCTTTACATACAGATGGCGGCTTAGAAGACGGTTAGACTGTTTATGAAGGATGAGGAAAAAGAAACTGAATAAAATAGTGTGGTTATAAAATCTTCTGTTTTATTAGAAAGTTCTGGAATACTTCTGTTTTTGTTTTTTTTTTTTTTGGTTTTGTTTTGTTTTTGTTTTGTTTTGTTTTTTCAATGTTGGCAGTGCTTGTAAGTTTGCCCATAACCTCAACGCTGAAATAGAGTCTTAATCTGTTTCCAATTTGAATAGTGTGTGATCTCCACTTCTGTCTTCCCCATCCCCTAAAGCTCATGTAGCTTGAGCAGTTCTTAAGCTGGCTTTCTGAGTTGTAGTCCTCAGCTTGAAAGTGTTGCAGGAGGTATGCTTTATGGCTGTTTCTGCTTTGGGAACTCTGACAGTAGCTGATAAAAGTATTTCTAAAAGTAAGTTCTGGGACACTTTCATGGGTTCACAGAACATAAAACAAAATATGAAATGATCTTACATGTATATTTCCAATTGTCCATCTTCTAACCCTTCCTCAGATGTTTTGTTAAATTTGTTTCAGCCTAGTTGTCTCTGTGAAACTGGAAAAAATATTTGTGCAACTCATGCTGTCTGCCCTCCTCTTTTTTCTGCTTGTTCTATACCAGCACCACCTGTCCAACAAGTGTTCACACCTCATTTTTTCCTGGGGATCAGGCTTTTCTAGTGGTTTGTGGCTTCTTTGAGTTTCTCAGTTCAGTAACTTCTGCTCCATTAATTCCAAATCAACTGATTCAGATACCAGAAACTCTTCAGTGGACTAAGTGAAGAGCTTCTTCGGTCTTTTTTCACTTATTTGAAGTACTGCAGGGAGTACTCCAGTTGTTTTGCACATTATTCTTCTCTTCTTTGGTGAAGAATGATGTCTGTTTTATTTCTGTGGCCTTCTGTGTTAAAACACTGTGCTGTGAACTGCTGGCATATTTGTAGCATATGTTTGCATTCATAAAAATGCCACAAAAACATTAATAGTACCAACTTGAGAAAGAGAAATTGTGAGCGTATCTTGCTTTCACCACTGAAATAGAATGGGTAGTTTAGATGTTTACAGCAACGTGTACTAAATACAGTGGAGACAGAATAAAGATCACAATAGTAGTCTATGCAAATCTGAGTTTTAATTTGTGTTGTTCCTCTTTAGCTTGCGGACGTGGGTTCTACAAATCATCTTCACAAGATCTGCAGTGCTCCCGCTGCCCTACTCACAGCTTTTCTGACAAGGAAGGATCTTCAAGATGTGACTGTGAAGATAGTTATTATAGAGCGCCTTCTGATCCACCATATGTTGCATGCACAAGTGAGTCAGTTGTGAGTTTAATAGTAAAGGACATTGCTTAACCAACCAAGTGCCGTCATTTGTAGCTTGTAGTTTCGGTTGACTTTTTCTGTATTTGCAAAGTACATTTGCAACAGTAAATGAAATTGAAAGGCAGAGGGGGAAAAAAATGACAGTGAATATGGAATGAGCAAAAATGTAATTTTCACATTTGCTTGATATAATATTGGAAAATATTGCATGTTGGGTAAGTGTGTAACTCTTAATGGAATACATGTATACTTTTCCCATGGCTTTAAAACTGATGCTGCTTATGTATTTTATATGATATAATATCAAAATGAATAACATGAAAAATACAAAGTAGTCTATGTAGATTTGAGTTTTAATTGAAAAGTGATTGGATCTGGCTTAATCTTGCAACTGCAGATAGACTAGCCTGCACAGATAGGTGGTTCAAATAGCAGAAGTCTGCTAAATCCAAAACAGCACCAGATACTCTGTAAATCATACCACAGCTCATAACAAAGAATTACCATGCTGATGCTGTATGTTTAGAAGAAAGAAACAATTCCCATACTAGGAAAACTATAAAAGGCAACCTTTAAGGTACATTAACCAATCCTTTTAATTGCACAGAAGAGAAACAGCTCAAGTCAGTCGCAGTAAATACACAGACAATTGTTAGCCTGATGCCTTAATGGAAAATAAATAAAGCTCTTGCCAAGTGAGTTCAAGGAAGCTTTTATGGAGCTTGTTGTAAAAAATAATGAAATGTTTATGTGAAGAAAAATGCTTCAACTGTTTTCTGTCTTAGTAATTAGAATGTTAGCTACATGTCCCACTGTGGTTCTGTGCCTTTATTCTGGACTATTTTTTGTTACACAGGACCTCCATCTGCACCACAGAACCTCATTTTCAACATCAACCAGACTACCGTGAGTTTAGAGTGGAGTCCTCCTGCTGACAATGGGGGAAGAAATGATGTGACCTACCGCATTTTGTGCAAGAGGTGCAGCTGGGAGCAGGGTGAATGTGTTCCTTGTGGGAGTAACATCGGATATATGCCCCAGCAATCTGGATTAGTAGATAACTATGTCACTGTCATGGACCTGCTAGCTCATGCTAACTACACATTTGAAGTTGAAGCTGTGAATGGGGTGTCTGACTTGAGTCGTTCCCAGAGGCTTTTTGCAGCTGTCAGTATTACCACTGGTCAAGCAGGTAAGATTTTATCCTTCGTATGAATTTCAACAGTGTGAGACTAAGAGAAATTGGGAACATGCAAACCACAGATGCGGTAAATCAGGAGCCTGTCTGGTGCATCTTTTCGCTTTGCCAACTCCTTAATTTGAGCTTATACTATTTCTTGGTGATCTGTTTATTGGCTTCAGGATTGCTTTCAGAAAACTGCATGAAAATCTTTAAGAGGAGATAATTTTTTTATGAAATATTTTTATTATTTAACTTGATTTATTCAACTTTGTTATAAAATAGATTTTTTTAATTTTGCAATTTTTTTGTTACATCATTGTATGTTATTTCCTAGTATTTGAAGAAAAAGTAGATATGACAGTCTTATGCAGGCTTCCTTTCTGAATATTTTAAACCTGTATAGGAGTCCCAGGTCATTAGAAGATGATTTGGATATGTTATGGTGTTTTGGGTGTTCATGTTTTCCCTCAGGATTACATTTCTAATTTATCTTATATGTCCAAATACCTGATTATGAGATTCAGTGAGAATGTGATGGTTAGTCTTTGTTTCTTCTGCTTATCATAATCTGACAGGTGAAATGTCAGGGAAAATAAAATCAAAGTAGCGTATCACCCCAGGGAGAATAGGGCTTTGGTTGTCTGTATACTCAGTGAAAAAACAGGATTCTCAGATTTGGGACTCTGAAATGGTAAGTTATTTCTTGATAAAAAAACACAGGCCTCTGGATCTACAGTGTATCACAAAAACTAACTTTTTATATCCTTTTATCTTAAACCAAACAGTAATTGCAAGATCTATCTGTCAAAGAAGTGCCTTAAAAATTATATGAATAACTGATGCTTGCTATAAGAACAGCTAATCAGTGTTGCAATGAATATTTCATACTTATATCTTGGAGGAAATTTTTATTGTGATCAAATTATTCTTTTTTTTAATCATATATAATTTCAGGTAGAATTATTTCCTTATACTACTGCTTGATACTGAAGACAAAATTACCATTACATTTTCACTATTTGTTCATTGCTGCGTGAACAATCAGGGAAAACGGTAGTTATTTAGTTAATTTACACTTTAAAGATGGTAATTAAAAAAAAGACAAGAAATTTTACTTCACTTCCTCTTCCCCACTCCTCACCCATGAACCTAGGATGGTTTATGTAGTTATTAAAGTTACTCTGGAATGTTTTTTGGGATATTTAAATTCCCTATACTGCTTCCCTGCATAGCAAATCCACATTTCATATGATTTTGGAATCAATTCTGCGACTGAAAGATTTGCTCTATGTATTCATTTAGTTTTTGGGGGTTCTGTTTGCGCATGGAGAACTTACTCTGAAACTATTGTTGTTCCACAGATTATATTACTTTAGCATCTTGACTTTTCATCTTTAAAATAATTATTTGTAATTCTTCAAGGATTCTTTTAAAGCTGAAGCTTTGTCTGTTTAGCGCTTCTAATCATAATTTAAAAGCTTCCAGTTGGGCATACAGAAAGAATATATATAAGAAACAGATTTTGAAAACAAACAAACAAACAAACAAACAAAAAACAACAAAAAAGGCTCTCTTTGTTACAGCTTTCTCCATCTGTAAGATGAAGGTAACCCTTATTTTATCAAGCACTTCAAGATCTTCCGATTAAAAGTGCCATGAAAATGAAGCCTATTTTACCAGAATTACAAAATTCATGTTAAAGAAAATAGACTTTCAGAAAAAAAGAATAAATGAATTCACAAAAAGGAAAGACCTCTTTCACATTATTTTTACAACTGCATATTGTGGATCCTAATTCTGATTTCTTTGATTTCTCAAGGAGGAAAATATTTTAGGTGGAACAGATTGATGACTATAATTGAACAGAAAGAGGCTGGTTGCTCAAAGGAGACTGCTATGCTTCTGTGCTATTTTATTTTACCATGGAGAGAAGGAAAATGTTGGATTTATTTATAGCCGAGTAAACTAGGATTCATGCAGCTTTCATTTGTTACTATGTGACTGCTCTCTACTTTTGGCAGAAAGGACTTTTTCTATGCCCATATTGCTTTTTATCTGTGTAAATGTGTCTAACTAAACCTTCCTCACATGTTATTGTGCTAGCACAATAGGTGGCTATATATAATTACTGAGTTCACCAATTGCACAGAGGCTTGCAGTGAGATTTTCCTTTAGCAGTTTTGTTTTAATTGAATTGAACCTTTCTGGTCATATTCACAAAATTCAGATATTTTTGTAACGATAATGGGAAACTATGGATAAAATAATGGGATTAGGAGATATATTTAGTGTGTTTTTCACCTGCATATAACAAGCTTCCGATGTGGCTGAGGGAACATGTCACAGAAAATATCCAGGTGGTTAATTAAAAAAAAAAAAAAAAAGCGATTTATATTTGTGAAAATAGCATAATAAATTGAGTACAAGTAGGAAGGTAGCATTTCACACTGCTCATGTGTGTACATGAGACCCACTGCTGTTCATTCCCTGTGCTAACACTGTTCTGACCAGGCTATCAGTTGTCCTATGAAGTATTTTTTATGCTGCAGACATGAACCATGAAGCTTTCTATTTCACTCTGTTTTTGGTTTGTTTCCTTTTGTTTGCATTTTTTGACAAAAGCATGAAAGAACTGAACCAGAATCACGTGTAAAAGATGAAGTACACTTATTCTCCCAGGAGTAAACCATCTTGTTTCATATCTTGCCTATCCAGCATCATATAAAGATTACAAGATATCATCCCTGCATTACAAGCAAGTCTGTGTGAACCCATGCATCCTTGTAGAATTCAGATTTAAATGTGACTAAGCCCTAGATACAATAGAGGAATGTACTGAAGAGCTGCAGCTGGCGAACAGCTGACAACCACAGCCTTTGCATGCCTATTGAATGGTTGCTTACTGAAGATAAAATTTGCTACTCCCCTAATAGGATATTTGTTTTCAGGAGGTACTGGAGGTTCCTTTTGATCATTCAAATTCCTTTTCAAATTTTATACTCTCTTCCATACATCTATCAAAAGACTAGTGGAACTGGTTAGGCTTTATGGCAGATGAATATTTGTCAGATTTTGGCACTTAACCAACTTCAAATTGTGAAAAAAAATGCGAGTTTCAACAGTAATTGTATCTTTTGCAAAGATACTATGTATTTAAAGCTATGCTTCTACATCCGTTCCTTTAAAGTCTATCTAAGTGGACAATAGATGGATCTCTGGTAATGAATGGGATTCGTCCAAATTACTTTGATTCTGTAAAAATTAAGATGTATTGGATGATTGCCACCATTCATCAGTATTTGAGAAAATTTAAGCATCTGCCCAGATCCAGTTTGAGTTGTCTTTATAATCACTGGAAGGGAAAAAGCATATCCAAGGGAACACACATCATGTCTTACTAGAGTAAGCAAACATGACAAATAAAAGTTAAAATGTAATGCTCATGTCTGCTCCTAAACATGCTCTCTGTCCTCATGAAGGGCGCACTTCCTAATGCTCACTCTTTCACAGCAGGAGAAAAATTCCCTACAAGACTTTCAGCTTATGCTGCCCCTTCTGATGCATTTGATGCTGACAACTTGAAGTGATTAAAAAAATATGATTCAGTTCCATAATTAAGACATGGTCTTAAAAATCATTTTTTTTAGTAACAGTTTATTTTTTATATGCTGATTTGTGTTTTCTCTTTTTTAGACCTCCTAGAGTTCATATTTTCTGACCTTTTTTACAAGAAGCAGATCGTAACCCAGATTCATTCAGCCTCACACAGCTGAATGAATGAACGAATGAATAAATAAAAGTCTTTCAAAGTTGTGTTATCCCAGTAACTTGAAAGGAAAAACATTACATGCTATAAAATCAGAACTATTAGCAGCAGAAGCATTGATTTACATGGCAAGAAGAAATGAATTGAAAACACAACAGAAGAAAGCCATCCCTTGTGTTAAACTATGTGATAGGTTCTGCCTTTCTTAGACACTCAGGTACTTCAGAATTCTTGCTGAAGGAGAGATGTTCTGAATTCTCTGTTACTCTCCATTCCCCTTTGCTTGTTGCTGCTCATTGTTTTCCTCTTCTTCTCTTCTGTATGGATTTTTTCCAGGTCTCAGTTACCCTCATTTGTTTTTGAAAGTTTCTTCTTCCATAGTCTCCACACTATTGACCATCTGTTTGCTTCCAGTACCCTGTCTTAAACCTGACTTTTATTTAGCAATGAGCTGTCTCCCAGCAGGGGCAGCAATCAAGATTTGTGACTGTGCCTTTCCCAGTCTCTTTGACTTCACTGTTGAGTACTAGTTTTCTCTCCATCCCCCAGACCATTATAATGTCTTCCCATTCTGCCTATAAGTTGTTTTTATCTACTTTCATCTATATCTTCCATCCAGTGATCACATCTGGTGATACTTGACTATTTACTATTATTATTTACTATTATTATACTATTATAAGTAGCTTCATTGTTCAACTGGTCACTTCTGGTATATTTTCCCATTTAAATGACCCTCCTTTGGGTTCAGGTTTCTTTTGGTTTCTTGCTAGCGACTTTGCTTTCTGAACACTACTTCATCATGTAGCCTTCAACTGCTGATCAGCTTTCCCACACTGGTATGAGTACATTATATACATCATGACAGTGCTTCATTTAAAACAATTGCAGATATAATATATATATATATATTTAATTAAATGTATTCGATCTGTTGAGCTGAGAGAACTGTTTCCTGTAGAAGGGCGCTTCTGAAAACTGATTTTTCCTAATTCCTTGTGTTAAATTTTGGTTCTTAAAAACATGTATGCTACAATGGCTGTTATTTGGGCTCCTATTTTGCTTTGTTTATTTAATGGGAGTTACAATGATGATGGAACTTTATTATTATTTAAGATATTTTCTAATCTGTTTTAACTTTTCTTCTGGACCAGTACGCGGACTGCATGGTGCTTTTGTAAATGTTCTGCACACCGTGGCCACCAACTTAAAAGCATAAAACCTGAACAAAAATGAACATCAT